CTTTCAAAATTTCAAGTTTTGTTTTATTTCACTGATATATGAAAAAGAATGAAAAAGATGATGCTTCAACTTCCTTTAGAAATTTACCTTGCTTTTAAATCTCATAAAATATCTCATTTGAATGTATAAATAACAATAGTATTGTTTCAGTGCAACAATCTCTGAAACAGACTAAGGTGGCAACCAACATACTCTTATTTCTGCAGCACCAACAGACAGGAAAAATAAAACTGGGACAAAGAAAAGAATCTGTTGGTGAAGGTATTATACCAGGTGAACTAGGACTGATGATATTGACAATAACGTTTAACAAAGTAGATGGGTCTTAGCAGCATGAGGCCCCTTAAATTTGCCATAGCTATGCCCATGGTCTGCTTGAGCTGRATCCAAAATTCTTTCTGTCAATGCAGAAGGTGAGAACACAGTTTGGCAGACTGTGGTTGTAATCAGTGAGAATTGTGCTGAGCTGATCCTCATTCCAACTGCAGTCAGTGCAGTGAAGGATCAAGTTTCTGTATATGCCAGGTTCATGGGAGAACATGTTTGAAGAAAAATGTTGACACAGGCTCAAGCTCATAACTCCTATTAAGTAAAAATAAACAGCTACTGAGGATTTGGAACTCTTATTAGCAACCTAAAGAAAGTGTTCTTTAGCTGTTTCACTAAAGAAACTTCCTTCTGATACTTCTGATCAGTTAAATTTTGGCAGCTGCCTCAGTTTGTTCACCAAACTGAGGTTTGGTGAACCTGGACCTGAGCTTTGCCTGAACCAGGCCAGCTGAGCTGATCTAGATTTCATATGTAAGTGAAGGCTTATATATATTATTTTAATGATCACCATAAAGACAGATACTTTAAAAAACTCTTTAAATTAAACAGTTAAAGATGTATCATATTCCACCCAGTGTTTAACTGACATGAAATCATATGAAATGCATTCTGTGCCAAGATTTGCATGCTACTCGAGTTTTATCTGMACATACCTGTAGATGTATGCTTTTTCCATAATAGCTTCCAAACGATCATTAAACTCAAAGAACGTGTTATGCTGAATGGAAAACAAACAAAAGTAATCAAATCACTATTTTTCAGTACACAACTTTTTAATAATAGTATTGACATTAATTCACATACACATTTTGAAAATTGATTTTTCAGTAATCAGACATTTTTTTTAAAACATTGTCCTGGTTCTGGCCAGAACAGGCTTAATTTTTGCAGTTGGTAGGAGTGGCATGGCTAGGACTCCATGTTACTCTATACCATCTCAGGTCATTGCTGGGGGTGGGATAAAGGGACTCTTTCTTTCAGGGGAGAATGATGTTCCTTCCTGCTGAGACAACCTGTCCGAGGGAGCTGCCTGCTATTGTTTATTATTGGTGAGKTTTTCCATGTGAGTAATTTCTTTTCTTATACCCTCTGCCATTAGCAATGTTGTTAGTGTCCATTTTCTTATCTCATTGCTGTTTCCAGTAAATATCTCAACCCATGAACTTGCTTTTTGTGCCTCCAGTTGGAGGGAAGAGGGGGAGCAGAGTGTGGTTTTAGTGGCAATACTAAATTGGAAAATACCATTCCTAAACCACACAAACATTTAACAAAAATGTGAACTGAAAAGCAAAGATAAATGATAGTGGTTTTTTTTTTTTTTTGTTTTTTTTTTTTTTTTTTTTTTTTTTTTTTTTTGTATTGAGCCCACCCTTAATCTGATTACAGAAATAATCTTGCTGTTTTGGTCAGACTACTTCAGATGAACAACTTCTACTTCCTCAAACATATATAATTGCTTGGGCAACATGGTCACAAAGAATTACATGCATTTTTCTYTTCCTAAAATTCCAGTAATTCTCCAGCAAACAATCATATGTATCAACAGCAGCCTATTGGATGTCACTCTGTGGTATCAACTGCATCTGGGTTGAATTCTTCCTGCTCAGTATTTGTAGTTGATCTTAAGTTATTGCATGTAGCTTTTTTCGTTGTTTTTGTTCAATGCACAGCTGGTTGCCTAATACAAGTTTTTTGCCTAATACTATTTATCTTTTCATTCTTTCACATTATTTTTGTTATGATTCAAAAAATTGAATACTGAAGTTTTATTGAATACTGAACAGCACCCTCATTTTATTGTCAACACCCTCATTTTATTGTGTCTCCCCCTAACTTTAAAYGAAAACCAATAATTTGTCAACATGTTGACTGTGTTCAGGGGAATGCATTTAGCCACAGAATGGCCTGCTTAGTACTGTGTCCTAATCCCTTCTCAAACCTTTCATTACACAATTCCAAGTGTCTAACAAAAGTGGGTTWGTGCTTGATAGGTATTCTGTGTATWSTTTATGCTGTCCTTAAAATTATCTCCTTCATTTTTAAACACCTGACATAAGCAGCAGAAGGGAAAAATACATTGGTATTAATTGTGATTTTTTTCAGTCCTTGAAAATTAAGCAGGAAATTTAAGATTAACCTAATTTAGWTAATGGAAAAAACAAAGATTTATTAACAAACTACCTTTTAAAAGTAGGAAATATTAAAGTCAGAAGAAAAATAAGAATAAGGGCCTAATTTGGCTAGACTATAACTTGTATTTTTTGTTGCTTTATTTAGTTATGCTGTATCTTAGCCTGAAGATATTTTATAATTTCTAAATTTCATAATCCTAAATAAAATAAAAATTTTCTGTTGGGTTGCAAAAACATCTATGCATGGTTAGCCATCCATCACAAACACAGATCTTACCTTTAGTACCCTGTTTGCTCTAAATGCTGGACTAAATCCAAAAATGAAGGATAAAAGGTCAAATGGCAACACTGATATCACGTCAAGCTGTTGAAGAGTAGAGAGGTTAATTTAAACTTCATGATAATCATAATGCATTTATTTGMTGTCAAAAACCTGCTTAAACTGAATCATGACTGTGATAATATTTGAAGAGTCAGCATKCTAAGCATGTAGCTTCCTAAATACTGGCAGGCAAAATTATCTCTTTGAAAACACCAGCAGCTTGGCTCTGCCTGGCTTTTGAGTCCCCTGTGCCTGAGATTTTAATCTGTTTCATGAGGATTATTAACAGTATTTCACATGTTTATTAATATATTCTGTTATTTCAGTAKTTCTGACCAGTTGAAAATGTCTGGCATGTGGCTGGTGAGTGCAGGTGGAGAGGCCACTACAAAAGCACTTCCTAAAAGTCCTTCAGCTTTTAGAAAAAGGCTGCCTAAAGCAATTTGAGGGAACACGATGAATTAGATTTCTTGCTTGGAACCTGCAAAAGGCAAGTGTTCCAAACAACAGATTCATCATAAGATGGTAAGTTTGGCTGGATTTTTTTTTTTGTTTGTTTGTTCAGTTGGTTAGTTTAGGGGTTTTTAAATAGATTTTGCCATGTGTTGTATTTGTATGCTGCTTCTTTCCGTATCACTAAGGTTTCAAACCCCTCCCTGCAGTTCATCATCTATGTATTAACTCTTCTTATCTGCATGCTTTATTCTTTCCAGGAATTCTGTGGGAAGAAGGAAAGCTGTGCCAAATTTATATTTTCCTTTTTTAAAGATCCTGGCATACSTTGCTTTGTTTCTGTTATTGTTTGGGAATAAGAGAGGCACGTGGAACTGTGGGCTTCATYTCACTGTGGTCAGAAATGCCTTTGCTCTGAGGGGTACAAATTGTGTTGGCAGCAGCTAGCCTGCAGCATGGACCTTTTATTTCATGCAGGTAAAAAGCAGTTAATTCCTCACAGTGTGCAAAGCAAACCGAAAAAAGGAATGGGGAGAAGCAGACTCTTACAAACTCTCTCTCTCTCTCTCTCTCTCTCTCTCTTAGGCATGTCTAAGAGGAGGCAAAATTTAGTCAGAAGGGCATTAATATCAGTAACTGTTAATTAGTACTTATGGCAAATTCCAACTTTATATCTATATCTTGCATGTGGTGAGAACACTCAGCTCTCATTAGTTTCTCCAGAAATCAAGAGCCCTAAATATACAGCAAGTGTGAAACTTAAAACCATACAAATTCACTTAAATCTCTTGCTTTAAGTTTGACTCTGTTGTACTCATTTTCCTTTTTGGTGTATATCCTGCACGTTTGGACAGCTTAATCTCAAATATTCAAGTAGTGATACCACAGCCACTGAGAAAAATTTAACTCTGAACAAGGCAGGTGCAAAAGTATTTAGAGAAGAGGAGAGGACAATAGCTGAAATGTGTGCCTGGTGTCACACAGGTGTATGTGTATCAGGGATTCAATAAACTACCTATCTTCCATTGGCAAAACCCCCCAACTTTTGGGAACAACATGAGCAATTTTCCTAAATCAAATGCATCTTTGTTTTTAAAAAGTACCATGAGCATCAAAAATCTTAGTTTGAATTTTTGACAGTTCCTGTGAGTGATTAGTTGTTCAGTACAATGAGGTACTTCATAAGAATTTACAGAATGGAGTTATCATATCTCTTCAAGAGTTTTAATTTTGTTTAATGAATCTCTGGCAAACRGTGCTATTGTCTTTGGTATGTGCTGGGATGACCTCACAAAAATTAATCAAATCCTATTTTATTAATTTATTATAATTCCAAAAGAATATTTAGAATTGTGTTTATGAATATTTTATCTCCCAATGAAACACTTTATGAAGAAGGTAATCTTCAGCTGGTGAACACTGATATGCCATCTAGCCAATACTTTCTGGTGTTATCCTTAAACCCACAGTGATTTTCAGTGAATGAAAAAAATCCTGTGAAATCCTAGAGCCAGGACTCCATATTGATATCAGTRACACAGGGTTGTTCTACTCACCCGAAACTTCACAGAGCTGTGGTAGAATTTCTTCGTCTCTATTCTGTCTGACTAYGATGATAATGAAAGTAGAAAAAGGCAAAGTCAGGAACAGAATGTCAAGGATGAGCCTCTGCTACTCAACAGTGTAGTAGGGATGATGACAGTTAAATTAATGATGGTCCAAAAGTATGATTGGAGAAATATCTGTAGATATTTCTGAGAAGTAGTACTTTTATTAGTCTATCTTAGATTAGATCAGATTTTATTAGAACTCTGGGAAAAAAAGAGAATTGGAGTTTGTCTGATTTTTTCCAATCTGGTCTGCAAAACTACATTACATTTTTCCCACAAAATTCCCCTCTCAAGACTTCTATACCACTTCATGCTCAACCCTACCTCCTTAAATTTCAGGGCARAAGACCCCATTAATCTGCAGTGATTCCCAGAAAAATGCAAAGAGTATTTCTAATGGTGCTGTACAAAATTAGCTCTGAATGATAGCATTATAATAATCAACATTGCATTCATTAGTAATGATTGGCTAGTTATTTTTAAATTGTTCTTCATGGGAACTGATGTTAATATCATAATGAGAAAGGATAATCACAAMTATATAAAGAAATTTATCTATTATTATACTTTCTGCATTTATATCAGGGAAACTAAAAATAGCTTTAAGGTCTTAATCACAAATTTCCATTCCAACTTTTACTATTATCAGTTTAAACATTAAAGTAAATGCAGAAGATTGGGCAGCAGTTGATTTCTTTGCACTAAAATCTCTGAATTGTRGAAACAGCTTCAAGGGAAATACAAGCTGAGCTTCCTATGTTAGTTTTAACTTTATTCATAAAAATTGAGYTTTAAGGGATTTAGGCAAGATCCAGTTAMTGCAAGTCTTGGWGTGGAAAAACACATTCCACTGCACTGCATTTAATACCTGTTCAAATGATATTTGAATAGTTTTGTCTGTAAAGGTATCAGTAATATAATTCATGTACAATGTATAAAATGTTATGTAAAAGCACTGAACTAAAGATAGTTCCAAATTAGATTTTAGGATATATAATTTTGAATTTTCTGTCTCTTGGGCACAGTAATGTCATGCTGAAGTTATCAAAACTCTTTTTTTTTTTTTCCCTGAATTTTTTTTTCTATAAGAACTTAAAAGCAGGGAACATTTTGAAGAAAAGTTAATGTTCTAGATACCCTTTGGTAGGTAAAGCACAAACTTTCACCCTTTCTCAGATGCATATTTAAAATCTTATTTTACATTCTTCTATAAAAAAGATAACACAAAAATACTACCGAGAATAAAAATTGAGCATACATATTTTCCCCAAAGAAATTATCTCAAATAAATTATTTTTAAAGTATACTAAGGCTACAGGGGTTTGCTCTGATTTTTGGAAATAAATAAAACCACAATCTCACAATCTGTTACAAAACACACATATCCTGTCCAACCTTAGTAGAATTTCAACTTTGATTCTGGTACAGGGCTAATGGAAAGTGAGTTTCACACAAACACACAGACAAATGTATTTGTGAATGGGTATGTATGATATAATCATGATCCAGTGAAGAAGCTGTTTAGAGCTATATGCCTCTTTCAACKGGTCTCATCTGCTRTTTTMATTTTTTTTTYCCCCAATTTTTAAGWATTTAGGTAATGGCTRTGTTTCTTGTCACACAGGATAATGGAAGGTCAGTGAACAATAGTAGGTCAGTGAGGAAGAATATATGTATCCTTTGAGTAATGAAAAAGTCACAGAGATTTGACATAGTGATAAAAAAAAGTGTCAGATTGGATGAACTTCTATGCTCTAACACACAACTACTGCCCGTGGAAGTCCCATTTCCAATACTTACTATRATATCTCCCCCTTTGATAAATCGCACTCGGGGCTGGAAAATGGTTAAGTCGCACAGGTAGCAGATATCACACATTAAATCAATGACAAACCAATATATTGAGTTACTGGGGGTTTGGTATGGGAACACATAGCGGAGGGGAATGAACCAGCAATTCCAGTTGTAGGCGATTGTCACAAGCATGAGCCAGGCCACGTAACGGCGATCTGAAAGAGAAACATTGAGTGCAGAGGCATGAACTTAGAGTCTGCTGTCATTCTTTGAGACAAATTCATCCTAGTGCAGTCTCTGGGAATGSTTCTGCCCACAGCAGCCTACCATTCTTCCCTTTCCAACTGGATATGCTGCTAAAAGGATTTAGCTTGGAAATAGGAGTCGGACAAGGAATGTGCAAATGGGAAAAAAGATGAGTTAATGACAGCATATAGAATTCAGTGCATCCAAAGAAAATGATCATTTTACATGCTTCTCCATATATGTTATAACTGACAAAATAATTGTTTGGCCCTTATGAATGGTGYAAATTCCAGACCAAGAAAGAGAAGGCTTGGATTCTAATTCTGGTCASTTTTCATATCACCTTTGTTCATGTTCTTTACAACTGGTGTCACTTTTCCTGTTTGGAATCAATGTTGTCTAGGGCAGGACCTCTGTGTCCCTGTGAGCTGCAAACTGGAATTTATTTTATGGTGGCTCACGTAGTATCAAGCCACTTCAATATTACTTTACCCTATGCTATTACACAGCTTTGAATTTACCTGTGTATGAGTCAATGGTATCTGGCAGCTTCATATACTCCTTGTATTTTTTCAGTGGAGGTTTTTTGAATTTACAGCACAGCATATCACAGTAATGATCCTCCTCTGGCTTTGCTTCTGCGTCGTCTTTCTTTTCTTCTTTTTTTTCATCTTTTTTTTCTTCTTTTGGTGGGGGAGGCTTCTTTGGTGCTAGGCACATAGGTTACCACAAACAATGGATGTTTAATAATGGCTCAATTAATACACCCTGGTTTAACATGAAAAAAAGCTTTACCATGTTAAAACCTCTTCTAAAAACACTGGCAGTGACTAAAGGTAYAGTTCATTATATTAAAGACATAGARAAACACTTGAAGAATAAAATCACCACTGGTATAAACATGAGCATGTGCTACCATGAGCAGGGTACATATGTTACAGAGTATATTGCTGAATTTCTCTGCACAGAGCCCACAGGTTACGCCTTTTATAAGACTGACAAGGAAAATGTTAATTCATAATTCAGCATTCATTAATGCAACTGAGCATTTCTCTTGACATGCCTGCTGCACAGAATGAAKGCAGTGAGGACAGAGATAAGAAAAGACACCTGTGCCATGGGCTGATCTCGCCCTTCCCCTGAAACCTGATACACAAGATGCAGCAGGTGAAACCAGTGGAAAGCCTGTGGTTTTGTACACTTTTAGGCTTATAAAAGTCTTGTAGCACTCCTTTGAGCCCAGTTTTTTCATCTTGGTGCTGGATAATGTTCTCTGTATGTGTCTTGTTAATTCTGGTTTACCTCTGATTAGGATACACAGTTTTAGCAGTGAAGTGGMAAACTGGATCTACAGTAAGTTAAAATATAAAGGTCTCTACAAGGAGAACAAAAGAGGTAAATGGTAGCTCAAAGAAATATTTTTTTAAAAAGTAATTAATTTATCAGTTGTTATAGCTTATAATTCTTCAGACACCATTTTTTTTACAGCTTTTTAAGTAACATGTTAGTGGTGAGTACCTTCTAAAAAGTCACAGAATATAAAATAAACACACTCAATTCTCTGTGGAAAGGAAAAAGAAAAGTCAAACTTTCCTCTGAAGAGGAAAATCATTGATATATTTTATGTTTCATATTTTGTCAAAAGTCAATGATAAATTAATGTCAATGATAAATTAATATCAAGTTTCTTCCATGGACTTAAAGTTTATTCTATGATCTTCATCATGGAYTTAAAGTTCTCAGTATRTCCAGATTTCTGTCAAGGMTAAAATTTAATTTATTTMTTTATTTTATTTACATAGCATATCTCATATCAAAGTGACTGCTATCCACTTATAAGATATGTGTGTTTCTTCATATGTTTCATATTCATCTCCATGAGTAAACACATCTGGAAGCTATTTCAAAATAAAGAAATCTTCTGGACATGGATGATTCTAGATACWTCCTTTATAAGGTTTTTCCCCCAAATTCTTCTGTGATGCCATTCAAAGGGACCTTGTWCCTAAGGACTCTGGCATACTATAGGGAAATAGGGATAAATTGGCTTCAGTGGGCACAAAGTGATCCTTTCCAGAAAATAAAGACACTACACTTACAAAAAATTCATCTCAGTATTTTCTGTTACCACAAASTAATTTTCCGCTTGAAACTGAACAAATGCACAGCTATTTCTAGAGTTACTTACAAGATGGAGGACTTGCTTCAGGTGAAGATATCACTGGGTCGTTCAGCTTTTCCTTATAGACATTTGCCCTTTCACGCAAYTTTTTGATAATCTCTTGAAGCTGGGCATCAGCAAACTCATTTGTTTGGAAACGTGTTGGCTTCTGTGGGCTAATTACAAGAGAAAAAAGTTTAATGTGCTGGAAATCAATGCAAYGAAACAATGCTAATTCTATTTCTARGYYGAAKTCAGGCATTAAGATTGGAACTTTATTGTGCACAGTGCTTATTCACATCACCCACGTCGAGGGGAAACCCAAGTTACCTGCTCTTGCCTCCTGCTCATGCCAGCAGCAGTCTGTGTGCTGTTTCACACAGATAAGGTCAGGGTTTAACCTCCTGCACTAATGGCTTCCACTGCTGCTTTTCACCAAGTCCTACTGCAGCTGTGTAAGGCATAGAGATTATCTGATGCATTCACTAAGTTACAGGGCATGCTCTTCACAGCTGAGTAAAAACAGGCTTGGGGTTGTTTGGCGATATCTGAACGATGATCAGAAATCCAGGTGGGGGAGGAGAGACTTATGCTTACTTTATACTGTCTAGTGCAGGGAAAATTGATTATGTTCTTTATGGTTTGTTATGGCTAACTTGAGGTAAAAAAAAATTCCATCTGTTTTCAGTGAAAGCAMAGCACTGATCTTCTTGCTGAGGTTTCTTCTTTTTGTGCTAAGAGTTTGCTCAGGGTCTTGTAACAGTGAGCTGATATTCCTGTACTCACAGCATTTCTTCTAACCTGAGGACTACTGATTTTCAAACACCTGCAAACTCATAGTCTTCACTGAAACCAATGCTTTCAGTAAGTTTTAAGCATATTGGGCAGTCAAATAGAAAATCTAGGTGAAAGTGATTCTTGATCAGCTCTTCATTGCTTCTTAATTGAAATTTCATCCTTGATTACTTTCTAGTRTCTGATTATGCAAATTGGGGTTGTTTTGGAGTGCCACTCAGCTGKCAGCTAGGCTACACATTTGGACTTTCTCCTGTAAAGACCAAGGCATAGGATTTTTCTCTGTATCCTTGACTCAGCACTTCTCACCTGATGTGACACTGATGTCAGAGCTGGCTGGAAAAGACTGAGACTGGCACAGGGCAACTGAAGAGCTCCTCCCCCACAGGTCAGAATTGTCACCACTGTACCAAAACCCTGAAAGCTATGCCCAGTATAGGGGCTATGGCAGACAATAGTTCTTTCTTTCTTAACAGTTTTTCAACTGTGTCCCAAGTACCACAGGAATGTTGGCTGCAGCAAGAGCAGTGGCAGACCAAGAGTGACGTATTGGYGCTTGAAATGTCCAGATTCTTGAGAAAATCTTCCCAAAGGTGAGTAGAGGGGAAAGTGGTGTGACAGCACCTTGGGAAGGGAAGAGATGAAAACCACCGCAAAGTGATCTTTGAATAAACACCTCAAGACCTAAACCTACTTCGAAGTTTCTAACAGAAGGAGCTGTAACTAAAAAAGGAGAGTGTCAGAGTGGGATGTGTGTACCTTTCTGAGAAGCAGTTTTCTGGAGACACAACACACACCACGGTGCCCAAGGAAGTATAATTTAAGCATTTTAAAATCCTTCAGCAATMAAACCATTGGAAAGTGGAGACATGCTGTTAAAAGCAACAGAAGTAGAAATTTGGAAAAGGCTGCTTGTCATTCCTCCCATTTAAGTCTTGTATACTGTCTATTTCTCGAAGACATGAGATTAATCAAAATCAAATCTGATGCATTTTGTAATCTCATCACAGTTCCTTTTGTGTCACATAGCCCCTTTGCTCAGGCCATCTGCAATGTAATGAAATCCTTTCTTGTTTTAAACTAACAGGTCACAATTACTTTTTTGCTTCTATGCAAAAAAAAATGAAGATAATTCTTAGTCTTTGCTGTTGCTGTATTTGCTCAGGTCATACTTTTTTGATGGTTAGATACTATTTGCCRCAAATGTTGTGCCTAAGGCCTCTTATATCTTCTTTCTAGGAATAAGCTACTAATTGCTTGGGATTTTCCTCTTGTTTCACAGACTTTCCAACAAAAGGTAAAGCCTCCTCTATCATGAATTTGGTGCTATATCTTTGCAATGTAGTGCAGAAGAACCATGTTTCCATTTGGTAGCGATTAGAATCTATGTGATTTAAAGTTATTTGCCCCACAGTTGATGAGACATTGATTTTCCTTGCCCTACTTCTCATTTGGCTTGCATTGCCTCCTGCTCCATTATTTTCTTGTAACGAAATTCTTACTTTAAATTTTCTCTGGTTAATACAGATGGAAGAGGCTGCATGTTGAACACAGCTAACTTGAGAATGTTTATTGTAGATGTGCTTTGTGTGGGGGTGCACTTTAAATTGCCTGGGCTAATGCAACCCATTCAAACTTCACTAAATCACTTTTAATTAAACTTGACTCCTCGTCTCGCATCATGTGGTGCTAGGATTTGGTCCTAAGCTGTTATTCTTTAAGAACCTTTTTTTTAAGAAAATTTATCTTTAAAAATGTATCTTTGATCTTTGTGCAATATGTTACAATARGCCTCGATCTATATTACTTTCTCTCCATGTAGTCCTTTACAGAGTGGAAATATTTATTCCCTGCACAAGCAATAATTTCAGGTGGCCTAGGAAATGAAAATCAAGGCCACAACTCATGTACTATGCACACAGTCTTGTAACTACCTCAAATATATTTTGTTTAACAATAGCAACATGTACAACCTGAGTATTGTAATAATAGTATAGTTTTCTGATTTTTTAATTTGTAGATATTTTATTTTTGTAACTTGTAGATTTAAACTTGTTTGTTTAGTGAATAAAGTTACAGTGCCTTAATCCTCCCCAAACCAAAAGAAAAGATTTAGACACATCTACTAGTATAATTAAAGACTATGGCCTTGAAACAGACTATGGAAATACTGTGTTGAGTGTGCTAACATATGCAACAGCTGTTAAGTACTGTGCCTTGRAAGTTTTCTGTGTTAAGAGTTCAAACAAACAGTGATAAGAAATGCAGCAGTTATTTCAGAAGGTTTGCCCTTTTCAAAGTTGCAACTTAAAGTTTAATTCCTTCTTGTTTCTGGCCATGAACTCCAAATACCTGAGTTTGATTCCATCTACCAGGTGACCCCCGAGAATTTGTATTTTATAAATGTATGCTGCCTGGAAAAGATCTATACCACTTTTTGCTGATTTCAGTTATAACCCTATTTTTTTGCAGCATTTTCTGCTAACTATCCGGAAATAGAGTTCTTGATCTTGCAATAGAACTTTCAATGCTTTTCTTTAACCCTGATGTTGTGGTTTATGATTGCATTTACAATATGTGTCTTGAAAAAAAAAAACTATTTTCTTAATAAATTATGGAGAATCTCTAATTCAGATAATCAGTTTCCARAAAGATATGATAGTGCATAATATACACAAAACYTGATGGTATAGATGAAAAAGATTTYATCTTTTTCTGTCTGTGAGACAGAAAAATGTAGTTCCAGTCATCATGAAATGTAATGATTCAAAAATATATCCTCAATTTGTGCTGACAATTCCAATGTGAGTAATACCATAGAAGCCAGAACCCTCTACATGCACTGAGTTCCAAGCCTAAACTCATTCATCCTAAATTACTAGGAAAACTAGTCATAGGAAATACCCAACATGTCAGTCACCTGCTTGGTACAGCGACAGAGATATTCTAAAAAGCTATCTGTCACTATTTTTGTTATRCTCCCTTTATAGTCTAAAGAAGGCTTCCCTTGGGGAGAGGTTCAGAATGAGTGAGCTGACRGGTTTCTGCTCTGAATTCCCTGTGAAGAGAGACTCTTCTTCTCCTTTACCTGCMCAGGGTGCTGATGGAACTTTAGGAGGGAGCTTTAATATTCTCTTTCCCAATTTAGGTACAAAATGCAGTAGTGCACTTTAATAGGCTTTTGGATTTGGAAGATTAAAATGTAGGAATGATTCCTATGCAGGAAAATTTGAAATTTTTAGTCCAAGAAATAGAAATGAGGACAAATCTAATGCTCCATGCTGCAGACATGTGCTTAGAATCACATTGTAAGAGTTTATTTTGTAAATATTGGAATCATCAGTTGCAGGWGACAAAAGTCTAAATATCCAAGGGTTTAGTCAAAGGAAAGTTGCCTRTGAGCCATACATAATCTGGCTGTGAAAAACACTGGTGCAAGTATAACTCTGGAATGTAAATCACATACTGCCAGGGAAGTAAGCACAAATATTGGGATATAAACCAATGTGAGAGTTATTCTGACCAGCTGTACTCAAAAGGCGAATTTCCGTAGGAGACTCCATAAAATCTCTTAGAATGGCCAAGGCTACTGGAACACGGCTTTGAAAAGGACAGCAAAACAGACATAATAAGATCATTGTCTATAAATTCAAATTCTGGTGGAAAACCATGGGAAAAGAGTTATTTGAGCTAAGAAATAGTATTGTGATAAAAATAAATGTGAATAGAATCACAGTGAATTAGCATGAGTTAAATGTCTGAAGAAAATTTTTAAGCGTTTAATGACCAGAATTCCAGGCAGATTTTAAGTGAGTGAGGAGCATTTGAAAGAAGTATGACAGACTTCAAGATTATTTTACCTAAGATCATGAAAACAGTTGCAGGCTGTGATTCTCAAGAAAGCAAAAGAATGTATGCAACATGACATGAAATCCTTTCCAGCAAGCAAACTTGAAATATATCAAGGTTTGGAAAGTGGATAAGTGATTTAACCTTTATATTTATARCTGGGTCTACTACTACCAAAAATCTTAACAGCTCAAGTGCTAGGAAAGTGAGTTTCTAAGATAAATATATTATCTTAAAGTCTTGGAACAAGCTGTTCACACATCAGTTTCCATGGAATTTCGAAAAGCTCTTAATTAAATTTTAATTTTCATCAACAGTCTCGAAAAAAGTGTCGTCCTCTGACCCATCATCTTTTCCTTTAATCACAGAATCATCAAAGTTGGAAGAAAACTTCAAGATCCTCTAGTCCRACAGTCAACCCAGCACATCACAATCATCACTAAACCAAGTGCCCCTTCCAGATGTGTGCCTGGGCAACTTATTCCAGTTCCTGAAAACTCTTTCAGTGATTTYTTTTTTTTTTTCTAATAGC